AATCTACACCTGTCCTGAAGCAACTTGCACACAAACTGATGCTCCACAAGCAGCCCTGACACAAACTGACTCTCAGCCACTAAACCCAACCGACCTTGATAGACACTGGCTCTGGACAAACAAAACCAACCTTCACACAGCTAATCTATATTACTCAACTGCCCTGAACCAACCTTGACAGACACCGACTCCACACCTTGTCATGGTATCTTATCGCTGGCTGAGAATTACATGCTGTTTAAGTGCACTCTTGAAGGAGACATCCACCTCTTCACAATTTTGCAGGTTGTGAGGCAGTAACAAATAGAGTAACCTTACCCCCAACCTTTTACAGGTTCCTGAAATTCAGAGTTTGTATAATTAATAATGTTAAGAGTCAAGTATCAGTGAAAACTCCAAACTTCAAGAATTCTGGTTCATCTCGACCTCCTCCCTTTTATACCTCAAATGTGCCCAAGACACATTTTTACCCAATTAATCCTGAGCACCTGGGACCCCTCTCTCTGATCTCAAACATTCACCCGATTTTGATTAGCCCTTTACTACCTCACAACCTGCACTAAACCAACTCGGACACAAACTAATGATCGACAACTGCTCCAAACCATCCCTGGCATAAACTGACTCAACCAGTAAACTGAACCAACTTGGACAGATATTGGCTCTGGGCAAACAAAACCAACCTTCAGCCAGAGTTAATGCTCATGTGTGCTTGGATGTCAGACATCCTGCATGAAGTCTACATAGTGTTGCTGAACCTTTGGAGTGTGGAAAGGCACAAGAAAGAGGGATATACAACCTTTGCAGTCACCATAGTGTTCCCACTAGTACAGACTTAACTTACTTATCCTCCACGAATCCCAAGGTGCTAGAGAGAGAAACAGGGCGTGGAGTTTCAGTCATCAGCTTTGGTTCCTATTAGTACAGACTTGGCTTCGGGTGACAATAATAATAGTCCTTGTATTTGATATAGCACTTTTCACGTCTTCAACATCTCAAAGTGCTTCACAGAATAGACCATAAAGTGAATTGACCATATATTTGTGAGCAAAGCACAGCAGCCAATTGCGCATAGTAGTGTCCCACAAACAGTCATGGATTGAAAATGATCAATTTATTATTGTTTTGTTTTTTGGAGGGATTATTATTAGGCTCTGTGTGGAGTAAGGAAACTTGCCCAAGGTTTCGCCCTCCCTGAAATTGAACCCAGGTGTCTCGCTCACAAGGCGAGTGCTCTAACCATTGAGCTACAGGACTCTACCGAACAACTGAGCTCAGCCCATTAATCACTTACATCTCCCACAATTTTCAGCTGCATCTCATCTCCAAACAATTCTTAGTTGGACGTCTTTGACAAAAATCTTGATGATGGTTTAAAGACTAACATTGCAAAATAATTCCATGCAGTAATTCTGTCATCACCATCTCTGAGACGAGTTACACAATACAAAGAAAAGTCAGACAGGTCAAGAGATGTTCACATTAAACCGAAGTGGATGGCAACAAAGTTCATTGATGTATGAATACCCAGTGATCATCTGGTATCCTGTATCGTGGAGTCCTGTAGCTCAGTGGTTAAAGCACTCGCTTTGCAAGCGAGAGACCTGAGTTCAATTCCAGGCAGAGGGCGAAACCTTGGGCAAGTTTCCTTACTCCACACAGAGCCTAATAATAATCCCTCCAAAACCAAAAACAATAATAAAAAAAAATTGGTCATTTTTAATCTACGACTGTTTGTGGGACATTGCTGTGCGCAATTGGCTGCCGCGTTCGCCCACAAATATACAGTCAATTCACTTTACAGTGTGTTCTGTGAAGCGCTTTGGGACGTCCTCCCGACGTGAAAAGCACTCTATCAAATGCAAGGATTATTATTATTATTATTATGAACAAGCATTAGACCAGCGTTCAAAAGCAACACAAACCTGCACTGGCTCCAGGATAACCTCTGACTGAATTGAAAACAACAGAACTAAATACTGAGAGAAGAGCAAAGGCTAGAAAACCAAAAGTGATAATTACCTGAGTTGCTCCAGAAAGAGAAACAGTTTAAGAAAATGAACACAAAAAAGCAAGAAAAACACAATTGGGCATATGGGCAAGTGAGGACAGTTACCCTAATAAGTGTCTGACAAATATACATAGTATAAAAATAAGTTAGGAACACAAATTTAGCTTAAAGCGTCTAATGTAGTAGCCATTACAGAGACCTGGCTACAAGTTGGGCATTGCTGGTAGCTAAAATTCCAGGCTGTAAAATCTTTAGAAACGATAGGGAAATTGGGAAAGGAGGGAAGCAATAGGGATAACATTCAAGTACAACAGTAGATAGAAAGGATTTTAATAAAGGTGATCAGGCCACAGGAATACTATGGGTAGAATTAAAGAACAGCAAAGGAGGGCAGACTGGTGGGAGTTGTCTACAGACTCCAGGTAGAAACAAAACAGCAATTGTTTTTCAGACAAATTACACAATAAAAGGAGAAGCCAAACTGGCCAAGAGTTGCTCACAATTGACATGAAGAGCAGGTGGACAGTGATAATGTCGCTCAAGCTCACAAGACCAAGGTTTGGACAACTTCCCTTCACAAACATTACTGACAATTTAGATCCCACCAGAAGGTTCTCACAAATGCAGACTTACCTGATATAGTCCAAAGAGATACCAGCCTGAGCCAAGCTCTACCACATGCAAACTGACCATTTCACTGCTCCGAACTACACACCTCCAGCAACTCATCTGCTATCTCTAAGCTGATGAGGTGATTCCTTCCTCCAATGGTTTGACTGAGCTCAGCCTCTGGGTTAAATACCCAAAGGTTCAGGTTTGACATGTGGCCAATGAGCGAATCACATTCCTCACAAGGTCCAGTTGAAGGGAACGTCCTCCCTTCACAGCTGCAAACAGTCAGTGTCATCACATGGGCTGTTGGCTATTGGCTGGTTCAAAGAATTCACAGGGTTTATATTCATTACTTTAGAGCATTCACACTTTCCTAGAATTTCCTATTGAATGCTTCAGAGATACCATCAAACACACCATCAAATCAGATCACAAACACTAATAGGTGTGAGAGAGAAGGAGAAAGATTGCAATAGAGAGGTGTGATAGAGAGGAAAAAGTCCTGTAGCTCAGTGGTTAGAGCATTCGCTTTGCAAGTGAGAGACCGGAGTTCAATTCCAGGCAGAGGGCGAAACCTCGGGCAAGTTTCCTTAATAATAATCCTTGCATTTGATATAGTGCTTTTCACGTCAGGAGGACGTTCAAAGCGCTTTACAGAACACACTGTAAAGTGAATTGACTGTATATTTGTGGGCGAATGTGGCAGCCAATTGCGCACAGCAATGTCCCACAAACAGTTGTAGATTGAAAATGACCAATTTATTATTGTTTTTGGTTTTGGAGGGATTTTTATTAGGCTCTGTGTGGAGTAAGGAAACTTGCCCAAGGTTTCGCCCTCTGCCTGGAATTGAACTCAGGTCTCCAGCTTGCAAAGCGAGTGCTCTAACCACTGAGCTACAGGACTCCCCACCTGAGCTGCAGGACTGATTACAATACCACAAGTGAAACCAATACAACATGGTGTCACAGCTCAAATAGGTAGTTCCTATTTCTGACTGAGACTTCACATAGAAATACGAGTATAAGATAGTGACTGGAGGATTGAAATGAGAATTTAGAAGGAATTTCTTCAGACAGAGGGCAGCACTGTGCGGAACTCACTCCCATAAGTTGTAATTGAAGCAGATAATACAGATAAATTTACAGAATAATAATCCTTGCATTTTGATATAGCGCTTTTCACATCAGGAGGACGTCCCACAGTGCTTCACAGAACACACTGTAAAGTGAAATTAACTGTATATTTGTGGGCAAATGCGACAGCCAATTGCGCACAGCAATGTCCCACAAACAGTCGTGGATTGAAAATGACCAATTTATTATTATTTTTGGTTTTGGAGGGATTATTATTAGGGTCTGTGTGGAGTAAGGAAACTTGCCCAAGGTTTCGCACTCTGCCTGAAATTGAACTCAGGTCTCTCGCAAAGAGAGTGCTCTAACAACTGAAAATCACTAGAAAATAGAGTCCTGTAGCTCAGTGGTTAGAGCACTCGCTTTGCAAGTGAGAGACCTGAGTTCAATTCCAGGCAGGTCAGGGCGAAACCTTGGGCAAGTTTCCTTACTCCACACAGAGCCTAATAAAAATGCCTAACCCTAACCCCAAACCCCGAACCCCAACCCCGACCCTAACCCCCTAACCCCAACCCTAACCCCCTAACGTCAACCCCAACCCTAACCCCTAACCCTAACCCCTTTGGTAAAATCACACCAAGCGGCGTGTACAATCCCCAGATCCCCGGGGGTTAAAGTGCATCGGTGCAAAATATTCCCAATTCTGCATCGATATTAACCATAAAAAACACTTTTTGCATGAACTTTGCCTTTTGATTTTAACCCCAAACCCGGGGACAAACACGGTAAGTGGTTTGAAAAGTCCCCGGATCCGCAGGGTTTAAAATGCAATAGTTTATTAAACCACAAATTCTGCATTAATATCTTTGCAACGACGAAACCTTGGGCAAGTTTCCTTACTCCACAAAGCCTGACAATAATCCACCAAAACAATAATAAATTGGTCATTTTCAATCCTCAAACAACGCTGACAGAAACTGACTCTCAGCAGATACACAAAGCCAATCGCTAGTAAACAGATTTTGAGACCCCACTTCAAAGCAGTCCTGACACAAACCAACTCTTGACCCTGAATCAACTCAATTCTCAGCCCTCAATCAACTCAGAATAAACTAAACTCTCTAACAACGCTGACAGAAACTGACTCAAAACTACACTTGAACAATCTTCAAACATCAGCTCTTAACTTCTCTGTATCGCCCACGAGCAAAAATATTGTGGTGGAGCGCTTTTCACGTCGAGAGGAACTTTACTTTAGACCCAAAGTGTAATTTGTTGTTGTTTCTCCGTGAATGACACAAAAAACACTGAAAACCAGGATTTATTTTATAAAAGAAAAATAATCACACGAAGATGGTGTTACACGTGTAGCTGTGAGACATGCTCTCTGTGCCTGTGACATGCGTGTGACATGTGGTCCGTGTATTACAGACTGGATTCCTCAAGCAGCAGGAAGGAGAACGGGAGAAATTTGTATCCAGATCCCGAATAAAACTTGTTTTGGAATTCAACCCTGTAATGTCATAGAGAGAGGGGGGAAAAAGGCAGAGGGAATGAGTGAGAGAGAGAGACAAAGGCGGGTAATGATTACAAAGGGGGTTAGGAGGGAGGGTGTATGGGGAGAGGGCATGTACAGAGTATGTATGTGGGGGTGTGTATGTGTATGGGGGGGGTGCGCGTGGTGTGTGTGTGTGTGGGGAGGGGGGTTGGGGTGCCTGCATGTGGGGGGAGTATGTATTTGGGGCGGGGGAGGGGTGGGATATGTGTGTTGGGGTATGTGTGTGCAGGGGGTGTGTGTGTGTGGGGGTGTGTGGGGTGCGTGTGTGTGGGGGGTGCGTGTGTGGGGGGGGGCGTGTGTGGGGGGGTGCGTGTGTGGGGGGGGTGCGTGTGTGGGGGCGTGCGTGTGTGGGGGGGGTGCGTGTGTGGGGTATATTTACCAATGCAGGCGCAGAGCGTGGAGAAAAGCCGACAATCCCTCCATCACCAGGAGAATCGTCACCGTCAACGTCGCAAACACCGCAAACACCACAAAGAGAATCACTGACCCGCGAAACTGCCCATAAGCCCAACCGAATCGAAGAACCATCGACCACAGGACATCCGAGAGCTCTGGAACACACAGTCACACACTCACTGACACACTCACTAACCATCGACCACAGGACATCTGAGAGCTCTGATACACACAGTCACACACTCACTGACACACTCACACACGCTCTCACTCACACACACACACTAACCATTGACCACAGGACATCTGAGAGCTTTGGTACACACAGTTACACACTCACTGACACACTCACACACACACAGTAGCACACTAACACACAGTGTAACACACACCCAGTAACACACTAACACACAGTGTAACACACACAGTAACACACAGTGTAACACACACACAGTAACACACTAACACACAGTGTAACACATACAATAACACACTAACACACAGTGTAACACACACCCAGTAACACACTAACACACAGTGTGACACACACAGTAACACACAGTGTAACACACACACAGTAACACACTAACACACAGTGTAACACATACAATAACACACTAACACACAGTGTAACACACACCCAGTAACACACTAACACAGTGTAACACACACAGTAACACATAGTGTAACACACACACAGTAACACACTAACACACAGTGTAACACATAAACTCACGTGCGTGTGCGAGGCTCAGGGCCCACAGACGGAGATACGATGCTGTGTTGGAGATGCAGCCGAGACAATACTCAATCGTGTGAATCGCTTGGTGCATAAACACATCTGCAAAATCAAACTGAAACAGCACATGCAACACGTTACATGTCAGCAACACGTCTCATGCCAGCCACATGCTAACACGTTACACTGCGCAAACACCCCTCCACACACATCACGGCCTCACCTCATCCTCAGGAATCTGATCATCATCACAGTCCAGGCGGTTGATTGACCCATTTGCCTCCTCCAGACTCTGGTAACCTCCCTGTCACCAAACACAGGGGATGCAGTGTGTGTTACACACTCTGTGGTGTGTGTATGTTATAGTGTGTGTGTGTGTCTCTGCGTGTGTGTGTCTGTGTCTGCGTGTATGTCTGTGTGTGTATGTTTGTATCTCTCTCTGTATATGTCTGTCTGTGTGTGTCTCTATAATAATAATAAAAATCCTTGCATTTGATAAAGCGCTTTTCACATCTTCTCGACGTCTCAAAGCGCTTCACAGGATACAGTGTAAAGTGAATTGACCGTATACATTCGTGAGCGAAACGCGGCAGCCGATTGCGCACAGTAGTGAGTGTCCCACAGACAGTCGTGGATTGAAAATGACCAATTTATTATTGTTTTGTTTTGGAGGGGTTATTATCGGGCGTGTGGAGTAAGGAAACTTGCCCAAGGTTTCGCCCTGACTGACCTGCCGGGAATTGAACCCGGGTGTCTCACTTGCAAGGCGAGTGCTCTAACCACTGAGCTACAGGACTCTGTGTATGTGTGTGTCGATGTGTGTATGTCTGTGGGTGTGTGTCTCTGTAAACGTGTGTGTGTCTGTGTGCGTGTCTAAGCGTGTATGTGTGTGTTGGTGTGTATGTTTCGCCCACAAATATACTGTCAATTCACTTTACAGTCTATTCAGTGAAGTCCTTTGAAACGTCGAGAAGATGTGAAAAGCGCTATATCAAATGCAAGGATTATTATCATTATGTGTGTGTCGGAGTGTGTATGTCTGTGTGTGTGTCTCTGTATGTTTGCGTCTGTGTGTGTCGGTGTATGTATGTGTGTCTATATGTGTGTGTGCATCTCTGTATGTGTGTCTATGTGTGTCTGTGTGTACATGTGTGTGTGTCGGTGTGTGTATGTCTGTGTGTGTCTATGCTTGTATGTGTGTGTCGGTGTGTGTATGTGCGTTTATATGTGTATGCGTGTGTCAGTGTCTGTGTGTGTGTGTGTGTGTGTCTGTATGTTTGTGTCGCTGTATGTGTGTGTATGTCTCTGCCCCGTCAACTGCCACCCCTCCCATCACCTCAACATCACCTCTCCCTCGTGACCCACCCCCCACCCATCCCCCCCCCTATACTCCTTTGACCCTATCTCTCCTTTCTCCGTCACTGCCACCGTTCACAAACTCAAACCCCCACCTGCTCCCTCGATCCCATCCCCACTTCTCTCCTCGTTTCCCAGCTCCACCTTCTGGCCCCTGTCCTGTCCGACGTCATCAACCTCTCCTTGTCACCGGTTCAGTTCCCACCTCCCTAAAAACAGCCGTTATCACCCCATCCTGAAACAACTTTCCCTGGACCCATTGTTTCTCTCCAGCTACTGCCCCATCTCTAACCTCCCATTACTCTCCAGGGTCCCAGCTCCGCTCCTTTCCCTCTCGCCATTCGCTCCTTGAACCCCTCCAATCCAGCTTCCGCACTGCCCACAGCACGGAAACAGCCCTGGTCAACGTCACTAATGACATTCTGAACATCTGTGATCAGGGCTCCCTCTGCCTCCTTGTCCTTGTCGACCTCTCTGCCGCCTTCAACACTGACAATCACTCCATCCTCACACACTACCTCTCCGCCTTACTCAATCTTCGTGGCCCTGCCCTTGCCTGGTTTGATTCCTATCTTTGTTACCTCTAATGGTTTCTCCTCCAGCCCCCGCACTGTCATGTCTGGTGTCCCCCAGGGCTCTGTCCTTGTCTCCTCTTTAACATCTACATGCTCTCCCTTGGTGACATCATCCGCAGACATGGAGTCAACTTCCATATGTATATGGATGACACCCAACTCTATCTTTCTGCTCCCACCCTCAGCCCCACACCCACTGCTGTGCTGACAGACTGTCTGTCGGACATAAAGTCCTGAATGAGGACAAACTTCCTACAGTTGAATGTGAACAAGACTGAGGCCCTCCTGATCGGCTCACGCCAGCGCCTCAGCACCTCAGGCTCTGGCAGCATCAATCTCCATGGTTGCACATTACAACTCACCAGCAGTCAGGAATCTCGGTGTCTTGTTCGACCCTCAACTGTCTTTTTTCCTGTACATCCAAGCCATGACCCGCTCGGCCTTCCCTCACCTCCGTAACATCGCCCAACTCCGCCACTACCTCACCCCTCAGGCATTGAAACTCTTGTTCATGCCTCCATCACCTCCAGGCTCGAATATGCAAACGTCCTGTATGTCGGCCTTCCCAACTTCTCCCTCCACAGTTGCAGATAATCCAGAACTAAGTCTACAGCCCGTGTCCTCTCCTGCGCCAAACTCCGTGACCCCATCTCCCCCACTCTCGCCCAACTTCACTGGCTCCCTATCCTTCAGAGGATCCACTTCAAGATCCTGGTCCTCATATACAAAGCACTCCATGGCCTCGCCCCACCCTACCTCTGCTACCTCCTAACCCCCTACCAACCCGCCCATTCCCTCCGCTCAGCCGGCTCTGGCTGCTCCATGTCCCCCGACCCACCCGCCCCACCATTGGCGGGAGAGCCTTCAGCCACTCTGCCCCCAACCTCTGGAACTCCATCCTCCAATCACTCCGCCTCACCCCCTCCTTAGCCTCCTTCAAGTGCTGCCTCAAAACCCTCCTCTTTGACCGTGCCATCGGCCATACCACTTCCCCTCCCCTCCCTTCCCCACCCAAACACAGCTCGGGTCTGAAATGCTGTCACATCCTCCCGACGTGAAAGGCGCTATTCAAATGTAATCTTGTTGTTGTATATGTGTATGTGGGTGTGCGTGTGTGTGTCTGTGTTTGTATGTGGTTCTGGCTGTTTGTGTGTTTGTCTGTCTGTCTATGTGTGTGGCTATGCGAGTACATGTGTGTCGGTGTGTGTGTGTGTGGCTATGCGTGTGTGTGTGTGAGTGCTTACCAGGAAGCGATGTCTGTGTGTCCGTGCTCGGTGCTGGCAGTACAGGAGGAGAGGTTTCCCGAGCAGCAAAACGGGAATAGAGATCAGAGCTAGAACCACTAGCACTTTCTGTACCACGGCCTGGAACACATCAACAACATAGGGTGTGAGACACGCAAAGGCACACACTGACACGTAAAAACAGAGAAGGAGAAGCACCCATCGATATACAGACACACACACACAGACACACAAATACACAGACAGACACACACAGACACATACACACACACACACACACACACACAGACACACACACACAAACACACAAATACAGTCACACACAGACACATACACACACAGACACATAGAAACACACATACAAACACACAAACACGCATACACATAGACAGACACACACACACACACACACACAGACACATACACACACACAGACCTGGCCATGGTACAGCTCAGAGCTGGGAGACATGAAGAAGAACATGTCGATGAAGTTGACGAGGAGACTTGGAGCAACATCTGAATCCCAGGCCGAGTAACGCAGCCATTTATACACAACCAGGAACAGCAGGTACCCGAACAGCGAGGTCAGGAAAACCAGCTCCGGCAACAACACCAAGACTATCAACGCAAATTGCTTTCTGTGTCTGTGTGAGAGAGAGTGTGTGAGGGAGTGTGTGAGAGAGTGAGTGAGAGAGGGTAAGAGTGAGAGAGAGTGAGTGTGAGAGGGTGAGAGTGTGAGAGGGTGTGAGAGGGTGAGAGTGTGAGAGAGGGTGAGAGTGTGAGAGAGGATGAGAGTGTGAGAGAAAGAGTGTGAGTCAGAAAGAGTGTGAGAGGGTGAGAATGAGAGTGTGAGAGAGTGTGACACAGAGAGAGAGAAGAGTGTGAGAGTGTGAGAGTGCGGGAGAGTGTGGGAGTGAGAGAGTTGTGAGAGAGTGAGTGTGAGGGAGAGTGTGTGTGAGTGAGTGTGTGAGAGTGTGTGAGTGTGTGAGAATGAGTGTGACTGGGTGTGTGAGTGAGAGTGAATGAGAGCGAGTGAGTGTGTGTGTGCGTCTGTGAGTGTGCGTGTGTGCGTGTGTGAGTGTGTGAGAATGATTGCGTGTGACTGAGTGAGTGTGCGTGTGTGAGTGAGTGAGTTAGTTAGTGAGAATGAGTGTGTGAGTGAGGATGAGAGTGAGTGACAGTGTGTGTGAGAGAGAGTGTGTGAGAGTGAGTGAGGGAGTGTGAGTGAGAGTGAGTAAGTGAGAGTGAGTGAGTGTGTGAGAGAGTGTGTGTGTGTGTGAGTGAGTGAGTGAGTGAGTGAGTGAGTGAGTGAGTGAGTGAGTGAGTGAGTGAGTGAGTGAGTGAGTGAGTGAGTGAGTGAGTGAGTGAGTGAGTGAGTGAGTGAGTGAGTGAGAGCTGCGGTTGATCTCACATGTAGTTGAAGAAGCCAAGAGTGACCCCAAATGTCATGTGAACGACTCCCAGAATCACCGACATCTTCATCTTAAAGGAATTCAGGAAACTCAGCTTGTTTATGGCCAAATGCCAGATCTGGGAATGAGGAACAGACTTCATCTTCATCACATCATCACAATAATAATCGAATAATAACAATAATAATAAAACAATAAAAATCTATTAATAATGTATTATCAATAACGATAATATATTGGCAATAATATTAATAATAATATTAACTCCGACTCCTCTCAGCCGCTGAGAATCAGAATCTTACAGGAGGCCCATCATGTGAAACAGGTTCTACCCAGCCCCTCCCCCACTATTACCCCAACTAGCCCCACTCCCCCGCTCTTCCCCCAACTAGCCCCCCTCCCCAGCTCTTATCCCAACTAGTCCCTCTCCCCCGCTCTTACCCCAACTAGTCCCTCTCCCGTGCTCTTACCCCAACTAGCCCCACTCCCCCACTCTTACCCCAACTAGCCCCACTCCCCCACTCTTACCCCAACTAGCCCCACTCCCCCTGGACAGTCAGAGATTTTGAGGGGTGGAGGGCAGGGCAGGGAGGGTGGGGGTAGGAGGGTGACTGAAGGCTGAAGGCCCGACCTCCAGTGATGGGGGACGCGGAGCAGGCCAGAGCCCCCCGAGCGGAGGGAACGGGCAGGTTGATATGGGGTTAGCAGGTCACAGAGGTGGGGAGGAGCCAGACCGTGGGGGCTTGGAAGGCAAGGACAAGGATTTTGAACTGTATCCTCTGGGGGATGAGGAGCCAGTGGAACCGGGTGGGCGAGGGTGGGAGTGATGGGGTCATGGAGGTTCTGCCAAACAGCAATGATTTACGACAAAAGTAAAATAAAACACAAAGCAAACGCAACAAAATGCTGGTGAACGAGACAACCAGGAGAACAGACCTGGAGATAAGGGAAGAATGAATTCACAGCAACTCACTGCTCTTACTAGGCAGAGGCAAACTACCTGATCTTTCCCATATACACTGTAAAGTGTAGTGACTGTATTTTGTGGGTGAAACGCAGCAGCCAATTACGCACAGCAGCGTCCCCACAAACAGTCGTGGAATGAGTGACAAAATTATTATTATTTTGAAGCGATTATTACCACCGGAAAGCGATCCATCAATTGACTAACAACCAGGTTCTTATTTACTGTTGGTAAACAGTGTGTGAAGTAAGGAAACTTGCCCAACGTTTCGACCTGACCCGCCCCAGAATTGAACCCAGGTCCTCTCGCTCTAACCACTAAGCTACAGGACACCATGTAATAATAATAATCCTTGCATTTGATATAGCGCTTTTCACGTCAGGAGGACGTCCCAAAGCGCTTCACAGAACACACTGTAAAGTGAATTGACTGTATATTTATGGGCGAACGCGGCAGCCAATTGCGCACAGCAATGTCCCACAAACAGTCATTGAATGAAAATGACCAATTTATTATTGTTTTGGGTTTTGGAGGGATTATTATTAGGCTCTGTGTGGAGTAAGGAAACTTGCCCAAGGTTTCGCCCTCTGCCTGGAATTGAACTCAGGTCTCTCACTTGCAAAGCGAGTGCTCTAACCACTGAGCTACAGGACTCCAAGTAAGTAGGAACCCAGTTGTGAGTCGATTAGAGGATCGCTTTCTGGCGGTAACAATCCCTCCAAAAATATAAGAATTTGGTCACTTAATCCACGACTGTTTGTGGGGACGTCGCTGTGTGCAATTGGCTGCTGCGTTTTGCCCACAAAACACATAGTCACTACACTTCCAAATCGCTGACTGTCCAGCTTCTTGGGACGTGAAAGACGCCGTGTAGATGTAATGTGTTGTTGTTGTTCACAGTGTGTTCTGTGAAGCGCCTTGAGTCGTCGCCGAGACGTGATAAGGATTATTATTATGATATATTTACTGTGTAACCAGGCACCAAACTCACCGGATCGATACCAAACGGGTAAACACCCTGAACCACCCCCGAGATGTTAGGGTCCAACTGGTTCCCAACCAGCAACCTGCAAGGGGGGCGGGTTGGGTGGGGTGGGAGAGAGTAAGTGAGAGATTTGCATGTTCACACTCACTCACACTCTCTCTCACACTCTCTCTCTCATTCTCTCTCTCACACTCTCGTTTTCACTCTTTCTCACACTCTCTCTCTCACACACACTCTCTCACACACTCTCTCCCTCTCTCACACACTCACCAGCAGGACTGGTTGTCGACGTGGCTGCACATGCGGCTGACATGCCAGGCCGAGGGGAAGATGGCCAGCGATTGACTGAAACAGTCGTTGTAGACGAGGCCGGTGTAAAGCGAAAACAATCCCATCAGCAGCAGCAGATACCGACCCCCAAAACAGGTCTGCCAGATCTGAGGTCACAGGTCACAGGTCACCACTGCTCGTGTGTGTGCGCGCGCGTGTGTGTGTGTGTGTGTGTGAGAAACAGACTACAGGGAGTGGGGGGGGTCGGGGACTCAGACGTACCTCGTTTTCTGCTGATTTGACCTTGGGATCATTTTCCTCAAGAACCATCCACAGAGCAAAGAAAAACATCAGCGCTCCATGTCCCACATCCCCAAACATCACCGCAAACAGGAAGGGGAATGTGATGATGGTGTAAGGGGCTGGAGGAGAGAGAGAGAGAGGGTAAGACACAGCACAGAGCTCCCGCTACAGCCCCCTGACAGAGAACAAGTGTGTGAGAGAGAGTATGAGATGGAGGAACAGAATGAGACACACAGAGAGAGAGACTGAAGGGAAGGAGGATGAGGCTGACACACAACTCACCAGGGTTCACCTCCTGGTAGCTGCCGACACCGTACGCGTCCACAATGCCCTGGAAGCCAGCGGTGAATTTGTTTGTGCGACAGAGTGTGGGCGGAGTGTGGAGGGTCTGCACCTCGTTATAGAACGAGGGGACAGAGGAGCCACTGCGACGCTGTGAGGGGCAGAGACCAGAATCAGTGACACACACACGCACACAGACCCAGTGACACACACAGTAACATACATACAGTAACACACACACAGTGACACACCTACAATAACATAGTTATACACACAGTAACACACAAGTGACACCACACGCAACACACAGTGACACAGTGATGCATACAGTGACACACACACAGTGACACACACACACACAGACACAGTGACACACAGACAGTGACACACACAGTGACACAGTTACACAGTGACACACTCACCACCCCAACCCAATCTCTCTCATTCAGTCTCTCGCTCTCTCTCTCACTCTCACATGCTCTCTTTCACACTCTCTCTCACATGCTCTCTCTCTCACACATGCTCTCTTTCTCTCTCACTCACTCTCACTCGCTCTCACCCACTCCCTCTCTTACCGAGCCCTCCTCCAGTGCATGGCGGAGTCGGTGGAGCTGAGAGACCGGACACCAAACCTCAGCGATCAGACACTTGCCGGTGACGTCGAAGTTGCACTGATTCAGAACCAAATAAATCGCTTTCATCTTCCTGACCCTGAGGGACCAGGTGTGTATCACCTTCACTGTGCGTTCCAACACCTGAGCCAGGTAACCCTCTGTTTGGCTCAGCACCTGTGATAGAGTGAGTGAGAGTGAGTGAGAGTGAGTGAGAGTGAGTGTGTGTGTGTGTGAGACAGTGTGTGAGTAAGTGTGTGTGAGTGTGTGAGAGTGCGACAGTGTGAGTGAGAGTATGTGAGACAGTGTGTGAGTGAATGTGTGAGCACACCCCGCTCTCACCATCTGAAGGTCATGGGTTCGTATCTCCAGGTCACGGAGGGTTTCCTCTTGCTCATCTGGGGTCAAAGGGTACGGGAAGAGGTGACAGTGAAAACTGTGAGACAGAGAACGTGAGAGTATGTGTGAGAGAGGTTTTGTTTTGCCATCGGGTGTCTGACACACACAGTAATCCTATTATTATTATTATTATTATTAACCCGGTGGTTGTTTAAAAGACTCCAACCCCAGCTGAGAATTCCCCAGATGAGATTGATAAATTTCTTTTGGATAAAAGGATTAAGGGATATGGGGACATGGTGGGTAGGTGGAGTTAGAATAGATCAGCCATGATTTTATTGAATGGCGGGGCAGGCTTGAGGGGCCGAATGGCCTCCTCCTGCTCCTAGTTCTTATGTTCTTATGTTCAAATCCCACCCACACGGAAATCCCAGAGATGGATTGTTGGACTGGAATGTGTGCGCTCTCTCTCTCTCCCCCTGGAGGGATGCCCCCTGCTTACCTAATTCCAGAGAGTATTAGACGCAGGTTGGCCAGAGCCAAGGCTTGGGGGGGGAGCCCAGCTTTCCCATTGAGAGAGAGAGAGAGAGAGTGCTGTCTGCCCAAGCTTTCCCACTGCTTGTCCAGCTAGGACCACTCTCCCCATTAGTTAGTTGGTTAGTTAGTAAGTTAGTTAAGGCTTTGGCTGCAGGGTTAACAGGAGCTGAGGGGGAGGAATCCCTGATAGTGTGACACAGAGATAGTTGGGGTGAGGCTGGGGGTCAGGGTTAGGTTTGGGGGTTTAGGGCTGGGGTCAGACTCGGGTTCTGACCAATCACAGATCTTCCTGACTTTCTGCCCAATCTGTTCACCCCAAAACGAGATGAGGAAAACGGTCCAACTGCTGGGCTCGCCCTGAGAGAGAGAGAGAGAGTCTGTGAGGCAGTGAGTGAGGGAGTGTGTGAGAGAGAGAGAGAGTGTGAGTGAGAGGGTCAGTGAGTGTGAGACAGTGAGAGTGCGTGAGAGTGTGAGTGTGTAAGAGAGAGTGAGAGTGTGTGAGAGAGTGAGAGTGTGTGACAGTAAGTCAGAGTGAGTAAGAGAGTGTGAGTGAGTGTGAGAATGATTAAGTGAATGTGTAACAGAGAGTGTTGAGTGTGAGAGTGAGAATGTGTGAGAGAATGAGAGACCGTGAGAGGTGTGTGGAGTTGTGGGTGGGGGTGTGTGGCATTGTGTGCGTGTGGGGGTGTGTGTGGGTGAATGTGTGCGTGTGGGTTTGTGTGTGTGGTGGGGGGGGTGTGAGGGTGTGTGTGTGGGTGTGTGTGTGTGGGGGCGTACTGACTGTGTGGGGGTCTGGCAGCTCCTGGGGGTGGGGGCTTAATTGGATGATGAAGTGTCCACGACAAACTCTCCACAGCAAACGCTCCAAACCCAGAGCCCGACCGGGTCCGACCAGCCCCGAGATTATACTGTAACATAGAGACCGTCACCCACCCCCCCACACACCCTCACACCCCACCCCCCCACACACACACCCTCCTCCCCTCCACACACACCCACCACTGACACTCACATACACTGACACACCCCCCACACTAACACTCACACACACACCCTCACACACACCCTCCTCCCCTCCACACACACACCCTCACACACATACCCACATGCTGGTACACAAACCACACCCGTGCACACACTGACACACACCCACACTGACACTCGCGCACACACACACACACAGACAGACACTGACCTGAGTCTCGCTGGCAGCTGAGCCGGGGTTTGGTTCCTGTTGGTCTCCTCCTGGTCGGGCCCTGTGAGAGGCGATTCCAGCGCCATCTGTGACACAATCACTGGTCACACTCACCCTCAGCTCATTGATCACTGATCAGTGTAACTGATCCGGTATTGGTTATTGATTACCTCTCTGACCAGCAGCTGTTGTGTCTCAGTGAGAACTGCTCGGTGCTGTCGCAGGTCACTGAGCCTCGTCACCAGCGACGATCGACTCTTCGTCACCTGATCCAATTCCTGCTGAAGCTGCTGTGATTCCTCCTGAATCCTCAACAGGTCCCGTGGGAGCGGAGCCGACACATCGTCCTCTTCATCCACCCGTGGCCTCAACCCAGCACGATGCACCTCCTGCCCCAGGCTCGCTGCGAGAGAGAGAGAGGGAGAGATTGTGAGAAAGTGAGGGAGTGTGAGGGAGTGTGAGAGAGAATGAGGGAGTGTGAGTGAGAGTGAGAGAGAGTGTGAGTGTGTGAGAGTATGTGAGAGAGTGTGAGGGAGTATGAGAGAGTGTGAGAGAATGTGTGTGAGAGAGAGCGTAAAAGAGAAAGCGTGAGAGAGTGAGGAGAGAGAGAGTGAGAGTGCGAGAGAGAGTGAGAGTGCGAGAGAGAATGAGAATGCATGTGAGAGTGTGAGAGTCCGAGAGAGTGTGAGAGAATGTATGAGAGTGTGAGTGTATGAGTGTGAGACTGTGAGCGTGTGTGGGAGAGTGTCTGAGAGTGAGAGAGAGTGTGAGAGTGAGAAAGTACGAGAGTGTGAGAGTGCGAGAGAGTGAGAAACAGTGTGAGAGTGAGAGAGTGTGAGAGTGAGAACAGTGTGCGACAGAGAATGTGAGAGTGAGAGAGAGTGAGAGAGTGTGAGAGTGAGACAGTGTGAGAGTGAGAGTATGAGAGTGAGAGAGAGTGTGAGAGTGAGACAGTGTGAGAGTGAGAGTGTGAGAGTGAAAGTGTGAGACAGTGTGAGAGAGAGTGTGAGAGTGAGACAGTGTGAGAGTGAGAGAGAGTGAGAGAGTGTGAGTGTGAATGAGTGTGAGAGTCACTCACACAGGGTTCTCTCCAGCTCCTCACAGCGACGGATTTCCCCCACAAAGCGTCTCTGGAACAAGTTCACGTTCTCGTTCAGCTGAAAACACACAGTGACACAGTCACTACACCTTACAGTGTTTGCTGTGAAGCACATGGTGTCAGGCGCTGGGTCAGAGTTAGGATTATTATTGTTATTGGAGTGAATGTTAGACACCACAACATGTGGGTATGTGGGTCAGACACACGGCTGATCACGGTGACAGGTTTCCCTGTGTATAGGTGTGTGTGTGTCTGTGTGTGGGTGGCGGGCGGGTGTGTGTGGATGGGTGTGTGGGGGTGTGTGTGTGTGAGTATGTGGGGTTGTGTGGGTGTTTGGGTGTGGGTGTGTGGGTGTGTGGATGTGTGTGGGTGTGTGTGTGGTTGTGTGGATGGGTATGTGAGTGTGTAGGTGTGTGTGTAGATGGGTGTGTGTGTATGTGGGTGTGGGTGTGTGTGTATGTGGGTGTGGGTGTGTGTGTAGGTATGTGGGTGTGTGTGGGGGTATGTGTGTGTGTGGGGGGTGGTATGTGTGTGTGGGGGGGGGGTATGTGGGTGTGCGTGGGGGGGGTATGTGGGTGTGTGTAGGTGGGTGTGTGTAGGTGGGTGTGTGGATGGGTATGTGGGTGTGTGTGGGTATGTGGGTGTGTGTAGGTGTGTGTGGGTATGTGGGTGTGTGTAGGTGTGTGTGGGTATGTGGGTGTGTGTAGGTGTGTGTGGGTATGTGGGTGTGTGTAGGTGTGTGTGGGTATGTGTGTGTGGGTGTGTGTGGGTATGTGGGTGTGTGTGGGTGGGTGTGTGTGGGTATGTGGGTGTGTGTAGGTGTGTGTGGGTATGTGTGTGTGGGTGTGGGTGTGTGTGGGTATGTGGGTGTGTGTGGGTATGTGGGTGTGTGTAGGTGTGTGTGGGTATGTGGGTGTGTGTAGGTGTGTGTGGGTATGTGTGGGTGTGTGGGTATGTGGGTGTGTGTGGGTGTGTGTGGGTATGTGGGTGTGTGTGGGTGTGTGTGGGTATGTGGGTGTGTGTGGGTATGTGGGTGTGTGTGGGTGTGTGTGGGTATGTGGGTGTGTGTGGGTATGTGGGTGTGTGTGGGTGTGTGGATGGGTATGTGGGTGTGTGTAGGTGTGTGTGGGTATGTGGGTGTGTGTAGGTGTGTGTGGGTATGTGGGTGTGTGTGGGTATGTGGGTGTGTGTAGGTGTGTGTGGGTATGTGGGTGTGTGTGGGTATGTGTGTGTGGGTGTGATCACGGTGAGGGGGGGGGGGGGGGTCAGTAAATACTCACGTCTCTGAACTGGACCAACCCGATGTCTCCGAGTTCAGCCACACAATGATAAGCGGATCCCGACTGAAGGTACAACTGAGCCAAAGACATGGTCTCCCCCCGAAACAGGGACCCCATCCTCACTGCAACACCCCCTCCCTCCCTCCCTCCCCCCCCCCTCCCTGTCTGTGTCTGTCTGTCTGTCTGAGTCTAAATCTCAGTTCCCCTTCTCTTCTGTCTGTCTGTGTGTGTGTCTCTCTCTCTCTCTGTCTGTGTGTGTCTCTCTCTCTCTGTCTGTGTCTCTCTCTCTCTGTCTGTGTCTCTCTCTCTCTGTCTGTGTCTCTCTCTCTCTCTGTCTGTGTCTCTCTCTCTCTGTCTGTGTGTCTCTCTCGCTGTCTGTCTGTCTCTGTGTGTGTGTGTCTCTGTCTGTCTGTCTCTCTCTGTCACAATGAAGGAAATCTCTCGGTTCCTCTTCTCTGTTGCAATGAATCTCGTGTCTCAATATCTTACTTTTTGCCTCTCACAGTCTCTATGACTCTCTCTCTCTCTGTATTTCTCACCCCCCCCCTTGCCCCCTCCCCCCACCCCCACCCGCCCCCCCCCCCTCCCCCCCGCCCCCCCCCCACTCCCCTCCCCCACCCCCTCCCCCACCCCCACCCGCCCCCAGTCTCTCACACTCAGTCCTTCCCTCTTTCCGCTTTTCTCACTAAACAGAAACTTGCTGTTCCTCTCTCACTCTCTATCTCTCTCACTCTATCACTCTATGTCTCAATCTCTATCTCCCTCACACTCTCTCTGTCCCTCTCACACTCTCTCTGTCCCTTTCTCTCTCTCTCTCTGTCACTCTCTCTCTCTCTCTCTCTGTCCCTCTCACTCTCTGTCCCTCTCACTCTCTCTCTCTGTCCCTCTCACACTCTCTCTCCCTCTCACACTCTCTCTCTCTCTCTCCGTCCCTCTCACACTCTCTCTGTCCCTCTCACACTCTCTCTCTCTGTCCCTCTCACACTCTCTCTCTCTCTGTCCCTCTCACACTCTCTCTCTCTGTCCCTCTCACACTCTCTCTCTCTCTGTCCCTCTCACACTCTCTCTCTCTCTCTCTCTGTCCCTCTCACACTCTCTCTCTCTCTGCTCTCTCTCTTCACACTCTCTCTCTCTCCCTCTCACACTCTCTCTCTCTCTGCTCCCTCTCTCACTCTCTCTCTCTCTCTCTGTCCCTCTCACACACTCTCTCTCTCTCTCTGTCCCTCTCACACTCTCTCTCTCTCTCTCTGTCCCTCTCACACACACTCTCTCTCTCTCTCTCTATGTCCCTCTCGCACTCTCTCTCTCTCTCTCATTGGATCAGTCCCTATTTCCGCTTTTCTCATATGCTTTCCCCTTAAAGCGACACCTCCCTCTCCGCCACAAAATCAATTCTGGTCCATAGACCCTAATTTCCCCTCCACTCTGACACTCAAATAACAACAATAATAATCTTTGCATCTGACACAGCGCCTTATCACATCTCGAGAATCTCAAAGTGCTTCACTGTAAAGTGTAGTGACTGCATAATCGCTTTCCACGAGTAATAATCCCTTCAAAAAGATAATAATTTGGTCACTCATTCCACGACTGTCTGTGAGACGCTGCTGTGCACAATTGGCTGCCATGTTTCACTCACCGAATACACAGTCACTACACTTTACAGTGTATCTTGTGAAGCGCTTTGAGACGTCTCGACGATGTGATAAGGCGCAATAACAAATACAAGGATTATTATTGTTTATGATTAACCAACGCCGTTCTCTTTGTGTCTCTATCTCTGCCCTTTGCCTCAGCCTGTGACCTCAGTCTTGTGACTCAGACTCTGAGCTTGTGAGAGTGACTCACATCTAAACGGGAAGTGAAACACCCAGCTTCAATCGTGTTTATTGTAATATCTCTGTTTGCGTGACACACGCAGAAATCCATCACTGTGCTTAAGTGTCTCCAAACTAAACTGGGATTTACATTCATCCCACCTTCACATAATAATCATCCTTGGATTTGATACAGCGCCTTATCAAGTCTTCGAGACGTCTCAAAGCGCTTCACACAATATATTGTAAAGTGTAATGACTTGATTTCAAGATCCTCATCCTCACCTATAAGGCCATCCACGGCCTCGCTCCCTCCTACCTCTCTGACCTACTATCCCCCACGTACCTGCCCGTACCCTCCGTTCCTCCGGCTCCAGTCTGCTCCACATCCCCCGCCCCAATCGCCCTACCATCGGTGGTCGGGCCTTCAGCCTCTCGGCCCCGAGGCTCTGGAACTCTATCCCCAGTGCCTTCGCCGCTTCCTCCCTCTCCTCCTTCAAGGCCGGTCTCAAGACCTTTCTCTTTGACCTTCAGCCTTCAGCTCCGCTCTCGACTCTACCCCCTCCTCGCTACCTCCCTTCCCTCCCCTCACCCTGACCATTTACCCCGTCCTCTCGCTCCCTCCACAGCAGTGTCCCCACAAACAGTCGTGGATTGAAGTGACCAAATTATTACTTTTTTTGAATGAATTATTACTTCCGTAAAGCGATCTGCCAATCGACTAACAACCGGATTCCTACTCACTGCTGGTAAACAGAGGAGTGAGTGTGTGCGGAGTAGGGAAACTTGCCTGAGGTTTCGACCTGACCTGCACAGGTCAGAATTGGAACAGGTCCTCTCGCTTGAGAGAAAGTGCTCTAACCACTGAATGGAATCCAGAGAGAGATTGTTGGAATGGTCGCACTCAGTACACCTCCTGCTGACAGCTCAGAAACACAGGGGAAGTCAGAGTCGCAAAGGGAACAATACTGTAGAGAATACATTGTAAAATATTAGAACCAGCAGGGGATAGAAGAAGGAGTGCTGAAGTAGGCAACCGCTTTTTGCAAGTTACTAAAGCTGCC